TATTATACAGTATATTTCTTCCAAACTCACTATTTGCATTGTTGTTGTTAGCATCTGGTTAGCTAGCTGCGCTAACGGATAGAAGCTGTTTCTCAAACAATGAGAGGGAGTCAGGGAGAGCTCTCTCCTGTCAGGCTGAGAGAGATAACTACAGCTCAGTAAGGGACTCTGTTTAGATAGTTAACTTTAGTCTAGTTATCTCAGTGGGTCTTAAACGTTTTGGTCACCATTTATGAGAATACATGAAAAACAGTTATGAAATACTATGACAGTAAAACAAGAATACAGTTTAAAAGGGGAGTGATTTTTAAAATATCCATAAAGAAAATCTGTTTCCAGTTCTGTTTCATATGGGTGTTGAGAGATCTATCCTTAAATTCCTTTTGCTCTCAAAATGCACCAGGTTGATGCATTTAACTTCAATATTTAAAAAAAACATCTTCCCGGGGGAGCAGGCCCCCGGACCCCCCGGAGGTGAGGACCCCCCCCCACATATAAAATAGCACTTTACCTCTGCTTACACCTATATGCTGTGAGCTGATTATCGAGCCTTCATTGTACGGGTACACTGTGTATGTGCGTGTTCCACTGTAGCACCTGGTACATTAATGGTAAACCCTAGTTTATACATGTTCAATACATTTGTAACACTGTACACATGAACATTTCTTTTTTCGGTTCACCAAAAAAAAATCTGACTCCAAGCTGAACTCAAATGTTGGCAGCCCTGATTCTGCACATGCGTTAAATGCGTAATTAATAATAAAAAAAAATTACCGCCGTTAACGCGATCATTTTGACAGCATTAATTATTATTGATAGTTTTGCTGAATAGTTTCATGTTAACTTACCTTAAGCAACGTAAAACGTACAGACTGGGAGCAACAAATGTAGGTCAGCCGGCTAGCATCACAGAGCCACACTACTGAGCATGTTAGCTCAGCTAGCTCTGGAACTTCCAGCTAGTTCCAGGAAGTCCCGCCTCGGCTCCGCCTCTTTGCCCTTATTTGGATCAGGCTGGAGCAGGCGGGAGTTAGACTCTGATGTCACTGTCGAGCCGTTAGTGGCCGACACCGCCTACTTTAAGCTTCTCAGAAACTCTGCAGAATCCTATTGGTGACGTCATGGACACTACGTCCATTTATATAAACAGTCTATGTTCTAGACCGACAATTTTTTGGTGCTTGAAACATACCGGATTCCGCAGCATAGAGGTGGCTCCGGTGTGAACAGGAAAAAACTGCTCTTCAGGCTCTAGCTCAAAACCGGCCCTGGAACCGCGTTGATGTGAAAGGGGCATATGTCAAAAGCAGAACTAATTTTGACATTAAGGTCTCTAACCATCTTAAGGTGTGGACTGATGTTCTTTTTCTTTGATGGGAAATATTGAGCAGTGAGTATGAACAGATGTTGAGTGAGTTTTTATATTTCTTTCCACAGGAGGACATTGAGCAGGTGATTTTAGTAGGTGGCGCCACCCGCGTCCCCAAGGTTCAGGAAGTGCTGCTCAAAGCTGTGGGGAAGTGAGTACTGTCCACTCACATTCAATCACTTCCACTTTGAAAGTGAACATGATTGATGAACTTTATTTTTCCACAACTTGATTTGCTTCACATTTCCACCAAATCTTGGAAATCATCCTGATTCTGATTGTTAGAGAGAGTTGAGTTTAACTTTGGTTGGATTGAGAAGCTGTGGTTTGTGTATTCTGCCGTGCAGAGAGGATCTGGCGAAGAACATCAACGCAGACGAAGCAGCAGCCATGGGAGCGGTGTACCAGGCTGCTGCCCTCAGCAAGGCCTTCAAGGTCAAACCCTTCCTGGTCCGGGACGCAGCCGTCTTCCCCATCCAGGTCAGCTCGTTCACTGCCTCGTTCATCCTGTCCTGTGGCTTTGCTGATGATGAAAAATATGAATCCTTGTTTGGTAACTGGTGGGCATGTGTTTGAACTCCTGTAACAACAGTGTTTTTCAGCACGTTTTTCACACTGTTGCCTGTTCTTTTAGTACAGGACTAAAATCCAAATAGGATGTGAAATTAAAATCCTAAATACAATCCATGGAAACACTAACCACATGTATTTGGTACCATCAGGTGGAGTTCACCCGTGAGTCAGAGGAGGAGGGTATCAAGACCCTTAAACACAACAAACGTATCCTCTTCCAGAGGATGGCGCCCTACCCCCAGCGCAAGGTCATCACATTCAACCGCTACAGCGATGACTTTGCTTTCTACATCAACTACGGCGACCTGAGCTACCTAAGTCAGGAAGACCTCAGGTTAGTTGGCTGAGTGCTTTAGAGCTCTGTGATGATGTTCTCTTCCACATAGACATGTGATCACTTCAGCAGTGCAGATGGACAGAACCAAAGTTTACATCATGTCGTCGTGTTGTGGAACCTCACTGTACTTTAAAAGCATTCAAAGAAGCTCAGATGTATGATGCCTTCAGGGTTTTGAATGTTTTGCTGGTGTTTCGCAGCGTGTTTGGCATTCTGAACCTGACCACGGTCAAGCTGTCTGGAGTAGGCAACAGCTTCCAGAAGAATGCAGACGCAGAGTCCAAAGGCATCAAAGCCCATTTCAACATGGATGAGAGCGGGGTGCTGCTGCTGGACCGGGTCAGTCTCCCTCTTCTGAACATCCAAACAGCAGCTGCTCACTGTGAGCAGGACACATGTTCTACCCTCCTGTGATGTCTGACTTCCAAATAACAATACATAGAGCCACTCCTCATACTGCACACAGCAGAATATCATGGCTGTAGCTCAATTATAGAGCGATACATTTCAAATCAACTATTGTTTTGTTTGATTGATGTACTTGATAATCGCAGAATAGAAACCAAAAGTATATTTGATTTGTTTCAGTGAAATGAATGTTGTATTTTTGTCATCCACAGGTGGAGTCTGTGTTTGAAACTATTGTGGAGGAGAAAGAGGAGGAATCGACATTAACTAGTAGGTTCTGAGCGTTATGGCGGTACTTTGGTGACCTTGAAATTCTTTCTGCCCATCTGTGTGGTATTTAGCTTTGTAGCCGGGGGGAGGGGTAAATTAAAAGTGATTTGTGCCATCACACATGTCCACTGTGCTAACTTTGATTAAACCACTACAGGGTTGTCTTTAGGAATACATTGAGTGTTCTAGTGAGGTATGTTTGAGCCCGAGCCAAAGTATTCAGTGTTATGAAGATGACAGGGTTACGGCCTCTCAATTGAGACCGAGACGCTGTTTGTAAGCACTTCGGTGGTTATCTCTGAACAAGGAAGACACGGGTCGATGCTGTAGCTGGCATTCATTCCTGAGACAAAGGACCTGCAGGATTCACAGCTTCTATTGCCTCCTTCTTTTGTCAGCGCTGATGAAACTTGAAAATGTTTTTGGCTTGTTGATTGCTAATACTAAAATACTTTTTTTAAAGTTGTCAATTTTACAGCCTGTACTTTAGTTTATGGGACTTAATATAACTAACTGAACCAACTCGGTTTCAGAACTGGGAAACACTATTTCCACCTTGTTTGGAGGAGGATCCTCAGAACCTGCCGCAAATGTGACAGAACCTGTCCAGGTAATTCAAATCATGACAAAGTTGATATGTTTGTTAATCAAATACAGTGTGCTGAGGTGGTAGCTCACATTGTTTCCTGATTTCTCTTGTTCAGGACGAGGAGGAAGTGCCTCCAGAGTCTGACAAGGACAAGGAGGGCAAGGAGGGCAAGGAGGACGAGGCCGAGGGCAAGGAGGACGAGGCCGAGGGCAAGGAGGACGAGGCCGAGGAGAAGCAGGACAACTCAGAGAAGAGTTCCGCTGAAGAGAAAGGTCAGGAGAAGACAGAGGAGGCGAGCAGCCAGACTGATGCTCCGGTAAGACCTCTGATAGCCCTGAGGAACATTTAGTTTGAAATATTGATTAGTAAATGAGAAACTAACTTCATCCCAAAAAGAGTGGCCTATAAAGTCTTTGTATTAAAAAAACACATTTTTGCTGGTGAAGGATGGAGAGAAAGCTGAGAACACGGAGGCAGAGAAGGAAGCTGAGAGGAAGGCAAAACCTCAGAAAAAGAGCAAAATCTCTGAAGACGTCACAGCGGAACTCATCACCAACGACATCCTCGACCCTACTGCAGAGGATGTAGCCTCCTCTAAGAAGAAGTAAAGCAGCAACTTTCTTCTTTCTCGTGTTCTCTCGGTTCTCAGTTAGTTGGCTGAAATGAGTCTTTGTATGTTCACAGGTTGCAGGATCTGACAGACAGAGACCTGGCCAAACAGGAGAGGGAGAAGTCCCTCAACAGTCTAGAAGCTTTTATCTTTGAGACACAGGTGAGCAACTAATGCTTAACCATAGTTTTATCGTCAGCTTTATTTCCTATCCAATTTGGTTTTCAAGAAATGTGAGTTACCAGTGTAGCTATTCGACAGAAATCCTAGATTTAAAATCCTTTAATCTTAAGAACAACCACATGGCACAACGTCACCTGGGCCTCCCCCACAAACACTCATTGTTCCTCCAGGACAAGCTGTACCAGGACGATTACCAGCTGGTGGTGACGGAGGAGGAGAAGGAGCAGATCTCCAGCAAGCTGAGCGAGACGTCCGAGTGGATGGATGAGGAGGGCTACACTGCCTCCAACAAGCAGCTGAGGGAGCAACTGTCCCAGCTGAGGAGCCTGTGTAAGGACATGTTCTTCAGGGTTGAGGAGCGCCGCAGGTGGCCCGAGCGCCTGGCCGCCCTGAACAGCAGACTCAACACCTCCAGCTTCTTCCTGAGGTGAGTGGAGGAGGCTGCTGGAGATGTTAGGACTTCGTAGAGGCGAGGGACTTTGTTATTGAGCACATTTGTTTTGTTTTCTTCAAAGGAGTGCCAAACTGATTCCAGAGGATGACCAGATCTTCACTGAAGTTGAGCTGAATTTGTTAGAAAAAGTAATCAACGAAACAATGGTATGTGGGGAATGTTTAAATGTGTTCATCACACTTTGGAGGATGGTCGTCCTCCTCATTTATTTAGCTCAAAGTGGAATAGAAAAAAGTTAAAGCTGTGTCGGTACAAGGCTTGTATTTTCTAGTATGGGGCATATGCTACATTTCCCATAATGCACATATACAGGACTGTCTCAGAAAATTAGAATATTGTGATAAAGTTCTTTATTTTCTGTAATGCAATTAAAAAAACAAAAATGTCATACATTCTGGATTCATTACAAATCAACTGAAATATTGCAAGCCTTTTATTATTTTAATATTGCTGATTATGGCATACAGCTTAAGAAAACTCAAATATCCTATCTCTAAATATTAGAATATCATGAAAAAGTATACTAGTAGGGTGTTCAACGAATCACTTGAATCGTCTAATTAACTCGAAACACCTGCAAGGGTTTCCTGAGCCTTGAAAAACACTCAGCTTGGTTCAGTAAACTAAATCACAAGTATGGGGAAGACTGCTGATCTGACTGCTGTCCAGAGGACCGTCATTGACACCCTCCATCAGGGTCTGAAAAACACCTACACGAAAAACTTTGACGGGAGCACCTTGTCGAACAGAAACCTTTAAAGAAAA